ATCTGATTGTGTTGTGCTGGTCTTAGTGTGTCAGCGGAAGAGAGAAGAGCATCTGCTCACCACCTGCAGTCACAACCATCTCCTGTCTCTCCAAAGGCCATTCATATTTTGTGACTTTAATCAACTCAATGGCTCTTTATAGATGCAGAGGAACCTCAGGCGTTCCCTCATTTGACAGCTGACTATATTGCAGTAAAGCACACAGCTTACACGAGAAACCTTAAAGTGCTACCATTAAACTGACAAATTCATTCCCAATAGGAATGAGTAACTAGACTTAAAGGGTTAGTTCACCAAAAAATGAAAATTAGCCCATCTTTTACTCACCCTCAAAGTGTCCTAGGTGTATATTACTTTCTTCTTTCAGAATCCAATCAGAGTTATATTAAAAATGATCCTTGCTCTTCCAAGCTTTATGATGACAGTGGGTGGGTGTCTTTTTTCAACAGTCCAAAAGTAGTCAAAAAGTGCGCAAATCCATAATAAAACGTACCTCACATGGATCCGGGGGTGAATAAAGTCCTTCTGTAGTGAATCCATGCGTTTTGTAAGAAACAATATCCATATTTAAAACATTATAAACACTTTTCTCTCACCTCTGCTAACTGTTGTAGGCGGAAGCCGTTCCGGCAGATGACATAGGACGTAAAACTTGGGCTAATTTTCAATTTTGGGTGAACTAACCCTTTAGGAAATTAATGGATTTGGCTTGTTATTAATGCCATGAGTATCTGTAAACACATTTTTTTATTGCCAACTAGTACATTTTATAGTTCAATAACATAAACATTTAAACTGAAGCAAATAACTGTTCAGATTCTACATTCTTCATGTCAGAAACACAATATGCAGCTCTTGGCAGGACCCTGCTGACCTCCTTCACACAAATTACACAGCGAAATGTTGGGGGAAGTGTGACGGCGCTCATAGTGTCTTTTATTTATGCAGTCATTCCTCATTACATGACAACCTCACTACCCTGTTTGTAGAAAAACAATATTTGGCTATGTCAAAATTGTCATAGTAAAACATGTAAAGCGCCTGTAAAAGAGTCAAGCAGAAAATCGAGCTAAATAAGGGAACTAACAAATCCCCACTGCCAAAGCTGCTCTCCTGAAACAGCAGCAGCAAACCTGATGAACCCATGTTTTGAGTGTTTATCTGACAGTTGCTATTACCTTTACGCCATCAGGCTCATTTACGGACAAGAAAACACAGTGCGCGACTGCTCATCTATCCTGCTAACAAACTGCTGTCAAAGCACTCTGGCGCACAGCCCTCGGCTAATGTTTTAGAGGACTGTCGTTTAAAAATGATACAGGGCACAGCAAGATTTAGCGAGGCAATATTAACGGTGGCAGCGAGCGCAGCTGGAGCTGGTGCAGAGGCAGACATAGGCTGGTGATAGATGTGCTGTCACTGACCACTGGCAGTTATTTATTTGATTATTTTCTTCCCGGTTCAGCTCCAGTATGAATCAGAGGCTGGAAAGGAGCTGACGGGGGGGGGGGGGCCC